GCTACCAACCGAAAAGTATAGTAGTTTGGATCCACCAGCTGCTCCAAGGGAAAAAGATGGGCAATCTCTTCCCATGCAATTTACTGCCTCTAAAAACCTGCTGGAAAGTCAGTTTTGACTCAATTGTAAACAACAAATATATATCAAAGTTTATAACATATCGGGGAGCTCTGATGGCCTAGTGGCAAGACGCTGCACTGCAATCTCAGAAGTACATGGTTCAAATCCACCAGATGCTCTGCTGGAGAAGGAGGGGGCAATCTCCTCCTGTACCAGTGAGATCTGATTTGACAGTACACATAAAATACAATAAAATAACAAAGTCTATAACATATCAAACACATAATGAACAATGTTATCAATTAGGTACCATTGAGTTGACTAAGCATCTTAGCAATTATTTTAGTATTTGGGTTTCTTTTCCCCTTTTCTTTTCCACCTGGGCAGAGCCTATATTAACTTGCAATGTGGTTCATTCCAGACTCTTTGGGATCACTTTGTACGGTCAGTGGCTTCTGAAGAATCAGCAGTACAGATTATATACTTAAGAGACAGCTATTAGGTAATATCTTTTATGTAATTTAAAACTGATTCTCATATATATACTTTTCTAGATTATAAATGCATACATACAATACACACATACAATCCTATGTAGTTTTACATGTATAGTTATACATGTATCTAAAGTCTAAACCCCAGTGTGATCAAATCAATTCTGACTTATGTGACACTCCATCCAGAAGTTACCAATCTTTTATAGATTATTCATCTTTCTCCCATAGAGTAGCTGATAGATTTGAAATGCAAACCTTTGAGTTGACACTCTGATATATTTAAGTACTATGCCACCAGTTAATGTTATATACATTTTAGTTTACATATACATATATAAACACATGTCTTTATATATAAATAAAGCAGCTCTGATGGCTTAATGTTAAAGAGTTGTGCTGTCAACCCAAAGGAACATGGTTCAAATCCACCAGCTGCTCCACAAGAGAAAGATGAGCAGTTTACTGCCTCTGAAAACTCACTGGAAGGTCAGCTATTAGC